TCCACCAGGATACATTGCTAGTGGAATGACCTGAAACTCGATGACATTATAATTGAACGCGCCAGGGTGATGACCCAGAAGAGACCACTTGCCTATTGATCAGGACGGAGGATTGATTTTGCGTCAATGCAAGATTCGCCGTGTGGCAGGGTAACATCAGCTGGAATCGCCATTTATCAGACGAGAGAAATGATTCAAGTGTAACGCTGAGATGATTTGGCTGTGGAAGGGCGGGTGGCTGTCGGGAAGTGGGAGAAGCCCATCAGGAACAACCGGGAATGATAAGGGCATTCGTTCCACATATCGCGAAACCAATTTTCTACGGGTGAATGCATGGCGGTTCTCCATAATCCACCAATAAAGCGTGTTCTGGAAAAAATAAGTGGTGGACGTTGACCCTGATATCATCTTATATTCTCGGAGTCCAATCTCCGAGATCTGTTTGGGAAACTCGTTGGACCTGTTTCGCCGTCCGATGTGTGGGCCAGATACACCGACAATTATTTATGTCGATCCCGGACTCATACGATTGATAAAGAGCCAATGTCCGTCTGAAATCAATTCTTGTAGAAACTGAGGCCTCTTCTGTAGATACTTCAATTGAGTGTGGAAGACATCATGTTCACAATCAAAACAAGCCTGGTGCTCGGCATCAGCTCCCTCGTGCTCGGTCGCGAAATTTACGTTTCTCCCACCGGCTCAGGCGATGGCTCGGCGACCTCTCCTTATGGCTCTATCCAGTCAGCTGTGAACGCTGCGGCGGCGGGCGACACCATTTACTTGCGGGCTGGAACTTATAGCCCATCGGCAAATATCCAGGTCGCCAAGAGCGGCACCAGAACGTCGCCCATCTCTGTTAAGCCATACCAGAGTGAAAAGGTTATCATTAACGGAGAGAACATGCCAGGGTAAGTTGGACATCACCTGGATAAGTTATGGAACAGCACCGTGCTCACTCGCTGTTACATTTAGAACGCCATATGGCGTCGGTGAGAGTCTCCCGAACAAGGAACGCGGTATTTTTCACATTCAAAATGCCAACTATTGGGCGTTCTATAATCTGGAGTATGCCTTAATCTGATCGAATTTTCATGGAATCGATGAAATATTAACCGAATTAGGTTGATCAATGGGCCTTACGGAATTTATGCCCGTGATGCTTCACACAATTATTACGAGGGACTCTCGACTCACGATAATTACGAGACTGGATTTCAGCTTGAGGGTGCATCTGCCAACAACACCGTATTGAATCTCGACTCATACCGCAATCGGGATCCCCGCAAGAACGGCGAAAGTGCTGATGGTTTTGCTTGCAAGGACGGAACGGGAGAGGGCAATGTTCTCCGCAATGCTCGTCTCTGGGATAACGTCGACGACGGATTGGACCTTTACATGTTTGGATCCCCCGTCACCCTTGAAGAGGTATATGCTTGGGGGAATGGCTACAACCGTTGGGGCTTTTCTCCATTTGAAGGAGACGGAAACGGTTTCAAGCTGGGTATCACTGGCAACCCCGCGGCCAACCATATTGTGCGCAATTCGATCGCCTTTGCGAACTTCAAGAAGGGGTTCATCGACAATGGAAACCCCGGATCAATCACCTTTGAGCGCAACACGGCGTGGAACAACGGCGACACTGGCTACGTCATGCGAAGCTCCTCTTCCACGATGAAAGCGAACATTGCTGCTGTCAACACCAACAGCCAGGTCAGCCTTATCAGTTCGGTTTCCTCGTCCGGAAACTCTTGGGATTCATCCACTTCGTGGTCCAATAGCTCATTTAAGAGTGTTGATGCTGGCACACTCAAAGGTTCCCGTGGATCAAATGGAAAGGTGCAAGGAAGCAATTTCTTGATTCCCACCTCTGGGGCGGCAATCGGAGCTACAACTTTGCAGGAGGTCTAATGACTGTGAAAGATTCAGTTTTACTTTTCCATCGTGTCTCATTGTCTAATGCCCTGAGTATCTATCCAACCCTTCACTTAGTTACAGCCACTATTGGTTCTAGATCATTGTGCCCTTCAGAATAGGCCAATGAACTGAGTTAAACAAGAACTGTTCCAATGAAATAGCTTCAATATTTACCATCGGAATCCCGGGAAATTATAAATAGCAAGTTGTTCCTGTTTCAACTACTCAGAACCCTGAAGTCTCTTACAAAGCATGAACTGTAACTAAACCAGGCGTTTTTGAACAACACCAGGGAGAATTTCCTTTCCCTCGACTTGGTCCTCACTGAATCCAGGACGTTGATTCCATTTTTGTTTCAGCTTGGTAAATTCCTCCATTGTTGGTATCTTGTGTCCGCCCAACTCAAAATCATTCTTCGCTCCTGCTTCTTGAAGAACGGGTGAATCAATTGTCTTGAGTGGCAGATCGTTCCTAGGACGGCTGAAGTACATTAGACCCAAACGATCAACGTCTCGCTGATCCTTTGGCGGCACTTTGACCTGCCAATGGTGGTTTAGAATTTCCTCGTTCACAATCTGTTGGAGAAATATAACTTACCCTGTGAACGGTAGACTTGATGTAGCCTCCGGTCAAATAACTGAGGGCATCGCCAGTATTGACAGTCAAGCTAGCATTAAGTGGCTTTGCCCACTTCCATTCATTCGACTCGGGATCGCGGATTTGAAGACCCGCAACAGGCTGGCGGAAGAGCAAGGTCCAAGATCCCAAATCAGTATGTCCATGAATCCAAAGGTTGTCCTTCAAAGAATCAACCTCTTCGGGCGTAAACTTAGAATATCTCATATATCTCAAGTGCGATTCATCATTTAGGTTCCATTTATGGAAGTTTTGAAAAGTGTCTTCAGGTACTCCCAGTGCCAGAGCAATCAAATGGTTCAAAGGGTCCAGGATCTTGTCATGTAAGTTCTAGATAAAGGATGTTAGGCTGTTGATAATTCGACCTGATTATTGGGTGCATTTAACCTTGGAAAACTGTTCGATCTCGTCTCGGTATCCATCAAGGGGATACGGAAGAGGTTGTCTGACCTGACCGTCTTCGGCTATATATGTGTTAACAGATCATGATATCCGAATCTTGCTGCCTTGATACGATGGGCAAAGGGCAAAGATTCAAGGCAACCTACTAGACATATTCCACATTTCTGTCTTTTCCGGAAGGCCACCATTTAATCGTCGCCTCCCTGCAGGCCGATAGCCGGTATAATTTCCTGCGTCCAGGTCGGCGGTATACTGTAGCCTTTGTTCAAGAGGCAGATTATAGAACGCCTGGCCGAGGGCAAATTGCTGATCTACATCGTCCTGGGATATGCCAAAGTTGGTCACATAGAAGAACCCTTTGGTCTTGATTGCTTGAATAAGGGTCTCAGATAGTTCTGCATTGCCTTCTGATGACCCATACTTCGATAGATCAATGGTAGTCACTATGAGGGGGGGAATTGTTAGTCACATTAATCGCCACCGCAGTCGGAAGGTTGAATTTCTTGCTCCTTACATGATGCCCAGTCGAGCTTTTCCTTTGTTTCAGGAACATGAGTATATGGCTCAATCACAGGAACTGCAGAAGGCATTTTCCCCAATTTGCTCTCCGAATCCTGATGAAGTTAATAGGATGTATTGTTGAGCGATATCTTGAGTTGGCTCGCTCCATATTGTATAGGAAGGGGTTCTCCAGTTTAGTCGTCTCATTAGTCAGGTTGATCGGACATAGGGATCTGAGACTGAGACGTCAGTTTACATATCGATGTCGTGATCGACGCCGTAATCGGTCTCTGCCACAACTGTTAAGACCCCGCGTTGTTCTGTTTGGCTTGGACCTTGGTGTGGGGTTTATGCGCTGCATTGCACCATTTACCCTGCTATCACACCATTGTTGAGGGACGGACGTTGAGGCTAGATATATTTGTAGAATTGCCTTGAGGAGACTAGTGTATCGACTTTCTGCATTTATTGCCAGCTTATCACAGTTAATCACGAAGATGGAAATAGTTTGAGACTAGTAAAGAGGTGGCAGTTTCCTGAACTTGACCCAGTTAGAAGGCAGCGACGTCGCCCAAAAAAAGCTGGCAATTTGGACCGGATCAAAGCTATGCTCGGTTGCACCTCGTATTTAATCCACTCCGAAGCCGGGACGGGGCTGAGAACCAGCTCGCTGATGAAAGTTTGATAGTTGTATTCTTTTTTCCCTTGTTTTATTTTTCCTGTGAATTCCCATAGACGCGATCCTGTTGCTGGTACACGTGGTGTCTTTGAAAGCAACTCCGTAGTTGCGAGCTCGTGGCTTGTGTATTTCCCACCAAGTCTTAACTCATCGCTAAGTTATTAAGCCGCTGATGGATATGCCCGAGCGATTTCCTACAACGGAATATCTACATCGAAATCTGATTGTAGATGCATATCGTCATTTAAACTTGGACCTGAGTTGGTCAGGAAGGCCGGTACGAGAAAGGTACACACGAACAATGGCCCAAGTCAAAAGAACAACACGATCAGAATACATCAGGTGAACCTCATCTGATTGATTGATTGATTCTTCTACTCTTGAAGTATTCTACTCCCTTTTGTAAGGAGGTCGCATAAAGACATGTTTAATTTCCAATCAGTATTATCATAAATGCCCAAGGCTCATGTTCCCGTAGATCAAGGAACTAACCGCTACCCGTCAATTTTTGCGTCTACACTTGGGTTACGAACCATCCCAAGTTTCAAGCATCTAGATACCTTTAACACATAATCAAATACTTAGTTCAACTTCGGCCGCGATCAACCCACCACGTAGTACCTGATCAAATTGAGGGTATTCAATATTTCCGCTTAAACTTCAGCTTTGTGGCCTTCTGATCACACCTATCTCCGAAGGAAAACTTTGAGAGTCTAGTTATGCGCCAGAACGTGCGTTGCGAATTTCAATGTAGAAAAAGAACATCCCTAACCCTAATATATTCCTTCAGCGATAGCATTTTCAAGCAGATACACCTGTAAAATACACGATAATGAAGTGTATCCCAAATGACTTGCTAGTGCGAAGGTTAGACCTCTCGCTCGCTGTGGCGTATCACCACCCCGTCTAACCACGATGTGTCTTGTTTGTCCTGTTTCCCATCATTCGAATCCACTGATTGGTGGTCCATATTGGCCTTGGGAAGAGGAACCCGTGGCCTTTTCCTGCGCTGCTTTGGTTGAGGAGGCAAGGCGGCTGGCCTTAGAAGAATGGCCACTTCTTCGGGCAGCAAGTTGTTCTCGGCATCTTGCAAAAGTGTTATCCAACTGTCATCTCTGGCACTCTTGTCAGCCCCATAGTCAATCAATAACTTGACGACAGAGGGAGAGGGCGTGGGAGACCGGGCAGCTAAATGGAGTGCGGTGAGGCCATTTCTGTCGCGAATTTCGGTTTTGGCGCCTATATCCAATAATTTCTTAACCACTTCTGCATTCCCTGCTACGCAAGCGGTAGCCAGAAGTGTCCTCCCTTTCACATCCCTCATCTCGGCCAACTTCCTCTTCTCGGATCCACTGGCTGGCCCGCCGTGCTGGCCGCCATTGAGCACGAATCTATCAAGTAAAAGGCTCGCAAGATTGGTATGTCCCATGGAGATAGCTTCGTGCAAAGGGCTGGGCTGAATTGTGCAACGAAAGCTACCGCAATCTCTGGTTGGCTCAGATGGGCCTGGAAGCACTCGCGCCCCCGAATCAACTAATAGCGTCCGCACTAATTCTTCGTCTCCTTCGTGGGTTGCATGGGCGAGGGCAGCATATAACCTTGTTTGCTCTTCAACGGAAGTACTTGGTCCCAGGGTTTCAGCTTCGCATGTGGCGGCCGGGTTGCGCGCTCGTCGATTTCGAAGCGAATCTACTCTCTTGCCATAAGGGTTGTTCTGAGTAGATTGCGACGGAAGGGGATGTGGCGTTTCTGGATCTACAATAGGGCTACAAGATGTGACTTTGTTAGTATCCATCGTTGTCGCCGGCTGAAGTGTTTGATCCTGCTGCGAGGCGCGTTGCTGTCGCTTGTCGCTCTCGCCATCGTGTTTGACTTTCGTGGCTTGGGCCATCAGCCGTGTCGTGATTTTCTTCCACCATTTTCCATCAGTTGCCTCGCCGTGTGTAGGCATAGCGGCAAATCAAAGTGTAGTGCCACGTTATTTGGCATCATTTGCCTCATAAACCAACTAGGAGCCTACATCCCAGCTCGGGAGTAAACCAGAGGTAACAAAGTAGCTCTATGCCATTGAAAGGTGGCCTTGGAAATTGCAAAACAAGAAATGAAGGTGGAAAATCAATATTGTCAGCAGGAATCTATGCGCTGCATTCTGGTGGAGTCTTTGGTCAGCCAGTTGGGCTGACTCCCCCAACTCCAACTTAGGACTGAAGGGGCTGCATTAGTCGAAACGATGTAACGCATGTCTGCCATGTGATGCTCCAGACCTTGTTTCTGACAGTTTGCTTATCAGATAGCCGCTGCATCCTCAGATGGGGGCGCTGAAATCCTGTCTTTGAACCGCCTGCATGCACCACGTACATATTTGTCTATTAATAGACTTGGCGTCAATTACGTAGTAATACAACCATTGTGAGGCAAGGGTGATGAGGCGTCAGGAGTAAGAATTCTGAATAATCTGTTTTGTCGCGTTATTTTGTTTGACTACCAATAGAATATCTAACATCCCGCTGTTTCTAGACTTGGTAGTGATCCTCAGGCTGGTTTCATCTGAATCATGCAAGGAACGCTTTGGCGGCTGGATGAACTCCGCGGTTTCCTTCGTTTCTAGCTCTGGTCTTTTGTAGCCAAGGATGAATCAAATCATGGTCTGATTTGATTCATCTATATATGGGAACTCATACATGCTGGAACCTATGCATGTAGATGGGTGGATTTGAACAAGCTCTACAGATCTTCACTGATACAAGGAAATGCAGAGTCCATGATGACCAGTCAAGTCGGGGGAGCCAAGTCCAATTGAGTGTGCGAAGGATGAGTGCTTCTTTCTCTCTGATAGACCCCCAGTGTGAGGATTTTAGCACGGAAACAGCGCTGAGGTCTGTTGCTGTATGTAAAGTGACTTCGGGTAAGTGCCTGGTTACAAAGGTTGGTTGAGTAGACCGTAGAGTAAGTTCGACTACTCTACCAAGAATTCAAACATTAAATAGTTTGTTCGAATATGCTGTTGAGATAGGGGCGCTATATATCACATGGTAAGTTGGCAGTTAGTCCTAGAGGGTAATGCGGCGAGACGACACAACCATTTTAATATTCCCTCGATTCTCAGGCTACTACATCCAACCTTGACCCATTAACCTCGAAGCCGCCTACGTCAGAACATTCAAGGCAGGATTTAAGGATTCGGTCTTGTTCAGCATTTTCAGAGAGAACGCAGGATCGACGCAGACGGAGGAAATACAGACTTGCAAATCAAAATGTATGCTCGATCAAGTGGAGATAGATCATATTGGCGATACATCCCTAGAATTCTCCTCACAGGTTGTTTCTGGGACATCAAGTGTGCTATTAAAGGCATATTTGAGCAATTACTCTATAATATTACAGGAATTTATGTAATAACATATCTATGAAGGAGGCGAGATTTCCTAGCTACTGCAACAGCTACACGTTATATCACTCCCCATGCTTCCAAACAGAATCCAACTATTTACTTTGAGATTGGAATAGGCGCAAGGTCTAGGGCAATATCGTAGATCTTGCCTCCGGCACTCAAATCATCAATTAATTTGACCAGAGCCGTATCTTTTCTAGCTTCCTCATAGCTCTATACGCAATATTTAGCTACAATTTCAAGATGCTGCTCTCGGAAATATTGTACTTACCTTCAGGCTAGGCCAGCCAATGAGGCCGAGAAAATTACCTTGCTGCTCCTCTATTCCGCTTCCATGGAAAAACTGAGGGGTCTCTGTCTGTGACTGAGAAATAGTCTCTTTTATTTGGCCCCATACTTTCTCTGTGTTGCTTCCTTGTGCAACCTTGATAATTTGAGTAATATTTGCCAAAGCGCACGAGGTTGAGGAATCGGGTGATTCGTAAAGCTCAGGCAGGACAGAAGAAGCAAGAAATGGTTTCATCGTGCCAGCGAATGCCTGGAAGGCCGGAGACTTGGGGTAGAAATCGTGGAAAGAGGATTGATGATCCCACTCTATCAATAACCCAGTTAGCACGCTCCATCAGATGTCATTCCTCCCTGGTTGATCTCAACGAACCCAAAATAAGAGCACTACGACCGCTTCCAGCGTCTACAGATGTTCCATTATCAGCCACGACTTTTCCGCGTGTCAAGGACTGGAGGCCTTTGACACCGAGAAAGTGGGTGAATAACTCGGGTGCTTTCTGCTTGAGTTCCGCCTGCAGCTTGGGGTCCTGATTGTAGGACACGAGAATGAGTTCGGTCACGACCATGTTGGCTAGCTGTTTTGCTGGTAGTCTTTTTAGGTCTTCTCAATTAATGAAGATGAGAACTTAGTATAGTAGTTTGTTTTCTTTAAAGATCTGGGACTATTTAAGATAATTCATACAATAGTGAGAGTCATACCGGTTGCCAAGATGTGCGGGGATCCACTTTTGACCGCCGCACATCACGGACCACCGCCGGCATTTGAAGACGGTCATTTGTGGAGGTTATCGGCATTGTATTTCTAAGCTGAGAGAGATCACATAGAGCCGGAGCGGCTTGCAAGGATATGAATTGGTAATCGGTGGTTCCATGGAAGAAACATTGCGCGGCGGGGCTTCGCTCAAGTTGCGTTTAAAACCCAGTTGGGGCCCTCAAGACAAGGCAGAGAAGCAGCATCCGATTTCACCCACCGCAGACCAACAGCAACGTCGTTAGATCTTTACACATTAAACAACAAACATGGCCAAGATTGTTACCGTCGTTGGTGCTACTGGCATCCAAGGGGGCTCAGTTGTTCGAGCCTTACTTAACGAGCCCTCCTACTCTATCCGAGCCATCACTCGAGACTCCAAGAGTGATGCGGCCAAGGCACTTGCTGAAAAGGGCGTTGAAGTCGTTGAGGCCGATATAAACAAGCCGGACACCCTTCTCTCTGCGTTCGCGGGGAGCTATGCGATCTTCGCCGTGACCGATTATTTCGGACCTCTTGTGACCGAGGGCATCTACAAGTCAATGGACATCGAAAGCGAAAAGGGCATCAACCTTGCAAATGCTGCGGCTGCAACTGATTCCCTGAAGCACTACATATGGTCATCGTTGCCAAACTCCCATGAAAACAGCGGTGGGAAGATCGTAGTCCCTTACTACGAGAGCAAAAACCGGGTGGATCGCCACATCAAATCTATTCCTCATCTCTTGAGCAAGACAACATTTGCTTGGTTTTCGTGGTACGCGGGAAACATGAACTACCCTCTATACCAGCCGAGCCCCATCAACTCAATGGATGGGGAGAAGCTGTACGTCCAGCTCGTTGGAGCCTCGCCGACTACAACCTTGTTGCCCCTGATGGGAGACGAGAGGACGAATGTGGGTCTGTTTGTCAAAGCAATTCTGGACCAACCAGAGAAGACCCTTCCTGGAAGGATCGTTCGAAGTCTTGTTGAGCAGTGGTCAATCAGTGAGCTTGTGTCCACTTTTGCGTCGGTTCACAAGATCCGGGCCCATTGCTTGCAGATATCAGAAGAGGACTATGCGAAGATCTATCCTATTTGGGGGGAGCTTCTTAACATCAACCACCGCTACATGAACGCGCTTGGGGGCCAGGCATTCACCAGCACCGTAGAACAGGTTGTGACGAAGGATGATCTAGGTATCAAGGGACTGGTCGGGACAGCTGAGGCTTTTGCAGCCATCAAGCTTCTAAATTAGCTTGCTCAAGCAAGGCAGCGATAAACAGAGTGGCATGCCGGGGCTTCATATTCTAATACATTTTTCTTCTTCTGAATTGCTCAAATAATTTGATGACACGGTAACAAAACAGGATTAGTGAGTGTCCAGTGATTTTCGAGAGCTATGTTAAGCTGCGCCATGTCAATGGGGGCAAAATAATCCATTGTATCCTGAGAAAAAAAAACACTGCGAAACAGGCTCTTATGAACTCATAAGGCACTCGCACGGCCATTTGAGCAAAACGGAAACCCACCTATTCGGCAGAAGACGGATTGAAAGCCTAGGCGGTATGTGAATTTTTTTTCGTCCTCTTCTCCATCCATATTCTCTCGTGCATTGCGCCGAAGTCTGCCCAGTACAACCTTCCAATGATTATGGTTGGTTTTATGGGGTAAAGCTTGACTTTGATGAACAGATCCCTGGCCAGGCTTCTTGGTAACAAGGATCAACAACCTCGTGTAGTATACATTGCCGATGGAACATGCCGAAACCCCCAAATCTGCCGACGTTTGATTTCATCTGTTACGGTGAGCGTAGCAGTGATTGGCGGGAATACTTTAGTCAGGTAGGGGTCGCGTTTTCACAGCCCCAAGAATGGCTTAACCACCTAACACGACCGCGAACCATGTCTTACGGCCTTTCTGGTGGCGCTGCAAAAATAGAGCTTTGTAGAAACGGTGGAAGAGCGACCCAAGTCTTATGAAGGGTGGTTGAGTCATGGGATATTAGCCGGCGGAGGTTTCGGCCAATATCCTTGTCTTGTAGCGTGTTTCGTTCACTCGCTTGCTTGGTCCGTTTGGCAACATGTCCATGCCAAACACCGATTACGTGGCAAGGAGGGACATGAGACTCTAGCCACGGCAACTATGTCACTTGAAGATGGCGTAATAGTAGTACCTGTTGCATTTTGGCTTGAAATTTCGGGTGGTTAGGCGAGAGCTCCCAGAGTATGGAGTCCATCTCAACACAGAACAATGGATAAGAGCAATGGATAAGATGGGAACTGCGCCGATGTAAAACAATGCCTTGACATGGATCCTAACTCTCGCATACCGTTGCCACAAGCTTCATAGAAGCGAGCCGATACCCGGCGACACCATTGAGCCCATCCCCAGGGACTATTAGTCTTGTGGCCAAATCTTTACGCCAGAGCCACCAGAGCATCCGATACCAGCATGACTAGCGTGAATAGAATCCTTCGTCAACCCACTAATCGCCTCGTGGTTGCGTTGGTGATGGGTGGAGGGTACGGTGACAGCGATCCCTGCTTGTCCCAAGCTTCATAGCTCAGGTCGTAGTTGGTGCAAACTCCGACTGGTCGGTGCGATTATCCCTGTAAGCACTATTATGCGAACAAATTGCCGTTGATGTGTAGCTGGTTTGAGGAATATATAAAGGCCGAAGGCCAGAGCGCAAAATTTAAGAAGTTATAGTGTAACGCAAGAAAGACACACAGGACATTGGACATTATCGACTATGTTTCTGTATCGAGGTCTCTTTTTTGCGGCATTGCCTTTCATGGCAGTCGCCTCTTATTTGCCCCAAACTCTTCAGGAACGATCATCAGACTCTGAGTGTGCTATAACGGGGACATCTAGCTCTCTTGTCAAGGCCCTCGAGCAGCACAAAAATGGCGTCGTCTCATCTCAATCCGTCGAGGGGCAAGCCGCTGAGATTGAAGTCACCGCATACTTCCATGTTGCTGTTTTTGCCAACTCTACCGAAGATACTGCTACCAACGAAATGATCACGGCCCAATTCGAGTTACTGAAAGATACATGTAAGTCGGCAGCACACGATTGCCATATTTTGTCCCTGGAATTTCTTCCGGACCAGAACTAACTCAGTTCACTTCGCTAGATGCCCTCTACGGGATCAATCTCAGTCTAGGAGGTATCGCTCGCGAGGTCAACGACACCATCGCTGTTCTTTCGGTCTGGAATCTGGATCCAACCGACACGTGGATTACTGGCTCCTCACCCGAAACCGAGGATTACTGGAAGCGGACCAGAACGGGTTCCTATGAAACTCTGCATGTTTACTACTATGAGGATCTCATCGGCACTGCAGCCTTTTGCAACATCGTCATACCTGATCGTCCAAAGTCTGATTACTTCCTCGACGGATGCCACCTTCGAAAGAATGTGCTCCTAGGCGAAAAGAACGCGCCTTATCGCGAATATGGAACCAGCCTCATTCGTAAGTGGACCCTTTTCACCTAGTGATCATTCCAATCAGTCGATGTAGAGGTTTTGGAATACCATGTGTCAAGCTGAACAAGGCCCTATCACTAACCTATGTGTTAAACAGACGAAGTAGGCCATTGGTTTGGGCTGTATCATGTCTTTCAGGGCGGATGCGAAGGAGAGGGTGATTACATAGATGACACCCCAGCCTCGACTGTTACCTCTGCCGACGGGACATGCCCTCTTGGCACGAAGGACACATGCCCGGACCTGCCTGGCACTGACATGGTAAACAACTTCATGGACTACACCGCAGATCCATGCAGAGAGAAATTTACTCCAGGGCAAAAGACCCGCATGCACGATGTGTTCTGGGCTGTTCGCTCTGGAAAATGATCGTCCCCAGACAATGGTGAAGGCAGTTTGGATACGACAAACTTAGTTAGCCTACTCTACCCTCAATCGACAAGAAACATTAGACCCATCTAGTGTTGGGGTTATTCACTATCGCATGATTGATAATGGTGATTTGACCAAAGTGACGTGAATCCGTTGACTAGGCGGCTACTCCAACCTGACTAACCTTCCTTGAAGATACATGTCTTCACACGGCAGGACCGAGTATCCTATTATCGAAACTTTAATGCACCACATGATGTCACTTGGAGTCATTCATCATTCTGACGAGCATGCCTCCACTGTTGCTGGCCGGTTCCCCCGTGAAAGGTACTGCGTGAATTGCCGGACTCAGCTTGCCTAGATCCGGCACGGGTATCTGCAATGCGGGTACTCGTTGCAGCTACAGCCGCACACTCACTAGGGCGAGTTCCGGATTCTGGGTCAGTCGGAAGTGATGGGTGGCGGAAGATAGATCATGATATAAATGCAAAGTTTTGGTCTCCAGAGCAATCAGTCCAAGTTCCTACAGTTCATACAACTCTCTTAGAAGACACGAATCTCTGGCTATAATACCTCACCAAACTCCTGGTATTTAAGTACATACTGTGCGATAAAATGGCCAACCAAGCAACCATACCTCCCAAGATGAAGGCTGTTCTGCAGCCCGACAAAAACTCCCACAACCTCATCTCATCCGAGATTGCCGTTCCAGTTATTACCCACCCCGAAGATGTTCTCGTCAGGGTTCATGCTACATCACCTTGCAAAGGCGAGCTGGACTGGGCCCTCTGGGCCCCAGAATTCATCGGCCCTGACAAGACACCTATTCCGGGCCAGGACCTCGCGGGTACCGTCGTCTCAGCTCCGTCCACGAGTAACTTCAAGCCCGGCGACCGTGTGTATGCAAGGATCAACGCCAACCGCCCTGGTTGTGCGGCCGAATACGTGCTCGCCCGGGAGTCTGAGCTGGCCATCAAGCCCAAGAACCTAAACTGGGTAGAGACGGCAGCCGCGCCCATTAGCGCCTTGACTGGCTTCCAGGGCTTATTTACCCAGGGCACGTTGGACAAGCTGGCCCTCAAGGGCGACAAAGCTGCCCTAGATGAGAATGCAAAGCAACGAGTTCTCATTACTGGAGCTAGTGGCGGGGTTGGCAGCTGGGCGGTGCAGCTGGCTCGGGAGGCTGGTGTGAAAAACATCATTGCTGTGGTCGGAGAGCGAAACGTTGAATATGTCAAGGAGCTTGGCGCCTCTGCAGCGGTTGTATACACAAAGCAAAGCATCGGTGACTGGGTTAAGGAGGACCAAAATGGGCGTGAGGTTGATCTGGTCCTCGACTGCGCTGGTGGATCATCACTCGCAGCTTCGTGGTACGCCGTCAAGGACGGTGGTAAGTTCGTCAGTGTTTGCGGAGTCCCAGAGGATAGCCGTCCCCAGGATGTCAAGAAGACTGTGCAGAGTTTGTGGTTCGTTATCACGCCACTAGGCAAAGATCTGGACATTATTACGGAGATGATTGAAGCCGGTAAACTCAAGGTCAACATCGACTCCGTCTTCGAGTTTGACCAATTTTCAGATGCCTTCGAGAAGACTGAGACAGGTCACCCGAGAGGTAAAGTTATACTCAAGGTCTCAGGGGAGGTGTGAGAAGAAATATGGTCCATGGTTCTTTGGTGCCAACCCAATATAATTTCAGAAAGCTCGCTTAAAGCTTACAATTAAAAGCAATTTTGCAAAAGTCTCCTCATTATCATTTGTATAGAAACATGCGTTCACCAACACGACAGCTGGTGCGTCTCTGATGGGATATGAAGACCAAGATCGACCCTCTATTGGAGGGGGAACATGGAAATGCACATTAAACGTCAAGAACTGCGATGCTATGAATATCATATCAATAGCAACCTAGGGTAGTAATGGAGTTGAAATAACAAAGTGTATGCATGTATGAGTGCCTTTAGCCATTCTCAGTGATAACGAAGGCGCAAGTTGTAGAGTATTCCTCCTGGCCGACAAGTTCTGATAATGGCCATCGAATAGCGAAATGCCACACTCACGTATGTCGAACGTGACCGTTAATATGCTGCCACTAGTTCGACTGTGAACGATACAGCTGCATGAGGTGTGGCTTGATAAGGAGTCTGGACATATCAAATAGCGGGCCAAGACATGACAACATTATAGCACCACCCCTACGTAGCAGCCGTGAAGTCTCAAACCAAGTTGTGTTGCAACATTCACAGAATCTAAGCAGCCATTGGCTAGAAGTGAGTGAAGGTCCAAGTGCTCCGGACCGGTCAGCTGCATCGTGAGACCAATGCGAACCAGTCCACCCACTCCTACCGCCTCACTCCAGGCAGACCGCCAATCGCGATGTGTCTACAATATTTTGCTCCACACCCGCTGAGATGAACAGCGCACTTTGCATATCTAAATGCAGTGAGCAGGATACTCATTGGCCTCCGCGAATACTACTCTACCTGTCGGGCTCCATGGCATTTCTGCCTTGCTTTCCCCCTCTCTCAGGGCTTCTATTAAAACCGCCACACCAGCCGGCCGGACGCATGAGATAGACATTCCCCGTCATTACTATCATTTTCTTTCTTTCTTCAGCTTCCTTTCCACTAGTAATGATGGCAGACGACAGGGCCCATTTCAAGTGTGCTAGCTCTATTGCCCTCCTAGAGGGACGAGCATCGTTGGAGCTCCCTGGTGATATCATAAGTGCCAGCACTCTAGGCGCTCTCGATATACGTCTGAGAAGAGTGGAAGAGTTTTACAACGTCGCACTGCCCCCGGCATGCCAGACACCCGCGTGGGACACACTTGCGTACCGCATCTTCCGTCTCATCAAAGCCTACAGAACCTTTCCTCCGCCGATGACTGGTGGCATGTTTACATCGAAGCACTTTCTGGAGCTCGTTCCAGATCCCAGCAATGTGTCTTCCGAAACTCTCCAAACTCTTTGCTCCGACCTTGGGTATAGAAGTTACAACTGGACCAAGTCTCTCCTTGCCAATCCTTCCCATGAACTCGGCGTGTACAGTCAAATCTGCTGCTACTACGCTGGAAAGTCTAAGCAAGTCCGACTTGTTGCGATTCCGGCTACTCGGGCTGATATCTATGGCTTACTGGCCGTCCTCTCCGTTGAGAATGGGCCGGCAATCAAGCAACCCATGAGTTCGCCTATGCCAATACCACCACCATTCGGAAAGGGCCTCCCTCCAGGGGTGACTGTTGTTAACGCAACACCCAGCCGCAAGAGGAAGACCAGAAGGCGCTCAATACTTTCTAAGTTCTCGTGGATGAAAAAGTTGGCATTCTGGCGGAAGAGACGCAGCGACGATGATTCGTCCATTTACAGCTCCAGCAGCTCTGGCAGCTCCTCGAGCAGCACCATTTCCTAGTCGAGAGCCGGGCTCTGAACATCTACGTCCAATGATATCTACTATTCTGGCACAGAAGCTAGGAGTCAAAGCATTTGGTTAGCATATGAGAATTATATACACATCTACATGAAGTTTTTTTTTACCAAAGTCTCCGAATTGCATGCATATCATTTCTTGAGAATAAATTGATAGAAAGAACCGTGTCAAGATCCCGACGCCTAAAGTCTTTCATGTTGAAGTCGCGATAGTTGCACTGCTGAATAGATCAAACTATCGATCCTGAATCACTGCCGTCGCTCCTTTATGCGCCTGGTACAGTCTTACACCCTCAAGCAAGGTTTCTCTAGTGATAGGAAAGGTCATCGGTATGAGCGTTCCGTCCTCCATTTTTTCTGCAATTATCTCTTCCCGTGTCGCCCATTTCCATTCAGAGTGCTCCTCTGGATCCGTTCGAACCTCTCCTTCATCCGCCTCGATTAACAGAGTGTAACGGTGAAAGAGTTTGGAGCCGGCATTCCACTCGTTCCCCTGGCCCACGGTGCACATGATCCGTCGAGCCCTTAAGCCCGCCTCCTCCCAGAGCTCGCGGACGCATGCGTGTAACAGGCTCTGGTCTGTTGGGTCGACTGATCCACCGGGGGGCTCCCAGAGTCCAGGGAGGTAATCGTGCGCCGCGCGGCGTAGGATGAGCACACGCCCCTGTCCATCAAAGACGATAGCGCCGGCGACGAGCCCGCTATATTTGTTGTTGTGAAGTCGATGCCACTCGACCAGGGGCTTGGCGTATTCTGCCAAGTCGTCACCGAACGTGAATTGATAGTCCAGCGGCGTCGAGGGAGATGGGACTGGTTCGGCCATTTGTCTGATGTGTCGGAAAGCGCAAATATTCCCCTCACTTGTTTGATTTGCAAAGTATGGTTGAGGGCTTCTGATGGAATTAGACGATTTGGCATTTAAGTAGAGGCATTAAATGTCTGCCTAAGTGAGGCGATGCAAGCCAACTCCACACAACTGAAGGATGCCTAATAGCTGAACGCTATCCTTTAAAATAATCTCACAGAAGCCTGGCAAGTGGGAGTCAGAATGACGGGCACTGCAAAGGTGGTTTATTAATCCTAACTTTCCAATACACGCCATGATATTGATAGACAATGGTTTATTATAGCAATAACAATAACAGTAACAATAATGATCACAGTAATAATAGTAATAATAAATCATAGAGCAACTATTGAGTGATATTGTCTACTTCCTATTACGCGATAGAAGCCATTATTAGACAATTGACTGCGACAGCAATGTTGCTGTGTTGACTTTGCAGCCCCCCTTTTCTGATATCAACAAACCTGATGTGATAATCAGAGCTCCGACTCTGTTCCTCCCACTGTATTGTCCTGCACTGTGTTTTAAGGGCTCAAAGCATTTCTATTGAGGCCATCCTCTACCAAGGCCGCGAGGAAAGGAAGTGGAAAGGATCAGGACTTGAAAGAAGATAGCCTCAATAGAAATGCTTATTAGCCCTTAAGACACAGCCCAAGAGAATATTGTGGGAGGAAGTGTCCATGCTTCCTAATGAAGTTTTAGTCTTGATGAAGATAGGAGCCGGCCGTCTGGGGGAGAGGCTCAAATATAATTTGACCGTAGGCATCGTATGTGGCTGCTTGTCCAAAAAGGTGTCGATGAGATCTTGAAGCTCCACTTTGGGACGAAGGACTACGGCAAAGTCGACCATTTTATGGACTGACAATGTAGACGCACTCGGCGGAGTGTTTGACGTTCCCAAACCCTGTCCAGATACTCCACTTGCACTCAACGCACTTGCGTTAGACAGTCAGGAAGGAATCTGATCACCAGTCTTTGGCAAAGGACGAAACACGGGCAAGATCTGAGCTGAGGAAATGGGCTCGACTTCAAGAGAAGCAATTCGAGAGCGAGAGATTACACGCTCTTGAACTGGTGCGTACACGAGACAATTCCAAGCGGCTTCAGATCGATCAAGGTTAGATGAGGTAATAGAAGCGTCCACAATGCCTCGGAGGTCTCCGTGATTTTCAAGAAGCGTTGACGCGTCTTCCACGCCATCTTGGCCAGAGACTTGTCTAGTTTTCACGCGAACCCGCGTATCCTCGTATCTCGAAAACCCTCATGATCTCGAAGAGCCGCTGGCAGGATCTCTGCTTTTGCCTGACCGCACAGAGCCTCAAATAGCATTTGAGCGTCGTCTAGGAGAACACTTCCAAGGTCGCGCTCCTTCGTGAAACGAACAGGTCGCACCAAGTTCAAGAGACTAGCCCTCTTATAAAATCGCTTCGTAGGAGATGGAGTGCGTGATCGCGTGGTGTCAGAGGAGTCTGTCGGAGCTTGTTGAACCGCTGTGAAAGAGGACGTCGAACGTGTTAAAGTCGCGCCCTGTGTTGCCGGATCATCAAAAACGACTCCATCACGCAGATGCGTATTTTGGAGTAATGAATCGGCTTTCGATGTGCTGTCAATGGGTGAGGTTTCTACTTCGTCAAACCATGCCTAAATAAGGAAATGATTCATGTCCAGAAATCGAAATGTAATAGGGTGACATTGCCTGACGCAGAGGAGATGTGTTCGTTCTTCGTAGGACTAAGAAGCTTAGTCTAGTGGCTCGGTTTTGTGTTGGTTGTGTTCAAGCAAACGTATGGGTAAAATAATTGAATTGAAGGTTAGTTTACAAGGTATTCCAGGGAAGGAGATGAAACAGAAGTCATGTGTAGCGGAAAAATGAATATCCGTTCCGTAGAATGGGGCTTTAACCCGGCTGACTGCCATTAAAACAAGTTCGACAGAATTATTATGGCTGTAGGTTTTATTATAATGCTTCCTATTATTTCCTATTTTGTAATATTAAGCCGATAATATTGCCTAATAATTGTTCAATAATTTGTTGTTATTATTATCATTAAACATTGTCTCAATGTGGTGGCATGTATTAGATTATTAGGCTAAGACACCTTTGCAGTACCTGTTATTGTGACGCCAGCAAACCAAGCTTGGGCTATCTCAGCTTTGAATTGTTGGGAGCAACTCTCACTTACTATTCAATCCACTCTTACATGTGCCTCTATGAGTTGAATTAAATTCATTATTCTCCATTAGCCACGAATTGCATGTCAGAAATGCCAGAGAGTCAGTTACACCTAGAGAGTGTACCGTGGCGAGGTGTGTATGTTGAACTCGTCTCCCCACCTAAGTCAGGGGTATTATCAGAAGCTCCGGTGACTCTACTGGGAGCTCAGGCATTTGAATTGGGATATGTGATGATATTGGTGATGTGATGCAACCGTCTCAGCTATCAGCTTCACTTCCCATACTTAACACTTGGCAAGCGAGAAGTGATAGATCATAGAATTGCATAACAAAACAGGGTCAGAAATGGCATTGATTCAAGGTCCGATTCAGCTTCTTGGGAAGTTCAGATATAGATCGGCAATTGCTTGTCCATTTGGTTCTTTTCTCTTATGTGCCATTCATCTTACTTTCATTCCAAAACATCATTCATGATGAAATTTTCGCCTTACGGATGTTTGGCGACATTTCCTGGACACGCAGGATCTTCGAGCACCAGCTTTCTTTCTGACCTCGTGACCGAAACCGAAGAGTCAGAATATCAGTTCCCTCATCGCCGCTCCAGTGGATCCTAAAAGCAAGCGGGCCTACCAACAGCCAAATATCAGTATATGCTTTATTTCGTTTGGTCTTAGCAACCTCCTCTGAGCTTCACTTACCATCTGTGCTGCTATCAATCTTTTTAATATCTCTAGCCCAGATCCGTCCACGCAGTGCCAGCACGCGTTTTCCAGCAGGACCATCAACTTCTCTTACACATAAGAAAATCTTCTCGAACAGGTACACCTTATACTGTAGAGAAGAGATCTGTCAGCTATGAAACCAATCAAAGGCAAAGTCAGTTGATCACATACGGTCTTAGTTGTATCTTTCGCTCTGTTGTCAGATCGCCCTCTGAGCGAGTCGTGAGCAATCAGTTCGCCGAAATTAGCAATGCGATAACCCCTCCAATCCTCCATGCGGGAGTTCAGATCAGCCAGGGCATCACGCATGTCGGCCTTTTCTGTCGCCTCATATGCCTTCTCTAAAACGTTCTTGACCGCAGCTTTCCCGTTCGCGATGTTTTCCACCTGCCAAGGTTGGAACTCCTCGTTAGAAAGTAGATCAAACTCCTAAAAACAACAGTCATGAATTAGCTTTTGAAAAGACTTGAGAGAACACGGCAGAACTAAACGTACGCGGAAGAAATCTTGGTACTTGCGAAGTTGATCATGAAGCGTCATAATACGCCGGACGCACTTCATCACGGCGCTCCTCTCGCTTTGCTGCTCTGAACTGTCCAGCCTATGGGAGCGCTGCCTCAACTCTCTAGCATTGTCATCCTCCAGGGAAATGAACTCGGCGTAAGTATCGCTGCCCTCAGACCACGTCAGGAATGGAGTACCCCACTCCTGTGACTGGCGCGGCTTGGTGATTTGTGCTTCAATGTCAAGTAAGAAGCGAGCCTCGAAGTGGATGATAATTTTTAGCGTTTCGAATGCGGTGAGGAGCTTGTGAGAGAGTGGTTCGGCCTCCTGCAGCACATCTTTGATCTCCAGCAAATCTCCCAAGTCGAGAAAGTACCTCCTCTGTTGAATGACGAATGTCTCAAGGTGGGCTTGCAATGGTGTCATTTCTGTTATTTCGGGTAAATTGAATTCTCTGCGGACGACGGGGCGAACCAATCCTCGAGACATCAGTTGAGATAATACTAACTCAATCCCCGAGAGAAACTATACCAAGTCAGACTAGAACCTTTCGCGGCCAGACTACAAGATGGGTCGTTTAGAAAGCAACTGACTTACTCTAAGATAACCAAGATAATCATCCCCCATCAAATCGTCAAGGGTGAAGAACTCGTATATGTCAAAGCCAAACTCTTTACATAGCTTAAAGAACATCGGCACGGTGTACGGAACACCCCCGGGTTTTGGGGCGACCACCTTGAAGCGGGAGTCAAGCTTGTTGAAGAGCCAGAAAAGAGGCCACCCCTCGCGGAAGATTGAAACGAGTTCTTCCATTGGGTTTGTGGTTCTCCACTCAAAGGCATATGATGATATGGCTTCGGTAAACCCGAGAAGCTGGTATAGCTGTGATTTGATGGCGAGGCAGTTGTGAAAGATGGATGTGCCGTGGCAATACATTCGATGTAATATCTCCAAGCCAGAAGAAAGTATTTGCTCACGAGTAGGCGAAGCAACTGATGGTACTGGAGTGGCAGGCGGTTCATCGACTTGCTCAACGACAGTTGGCAAAGCAGAACCTGCACGCGAGCCTTCGCCCTCTGTCGCAAATGGACTGTAAGGGGGAGGTGGATAAGAGGGAGGGGAGCTAAAGTTGTAATGTTGAGGGTTTGTAATATCATCAGCGAACAATGGAAGTGCAATAACGGATATTGCTGACGCCTGCCCTTGGCTAGAGTCAGATAACGAGGACCAAGGCCTTCGGAAGGAGCTGCGCATGGAGAAGTCCATGGACTCTCGATTTGCGCGTCGGTAGGGGCCAGAGTAAGCAAGGTCCGCTTCGAAGTTGAATGATGACGTTGAGATGGGAGACATAAACCCAGATCGTGACTGGTCGTCAAGTCCAGGTAGAACTGCACCAAGGTCTGCGACAGAATCAAGCCTCGAGGGGGTGATGGGTGACGCTGGCAATGGCCAGTTCTCGTGATCCGGTTTCCTCGACGAGAGGTAGCCCTTTTTTGTTCTTAGGTTCTCGATATCAAAACTATTATCGGCGGCCAAGATGCGGCGCATGACATCGAAATTCTCGTCCATCAGACTATCTACATTGGTTGTGAGCTGGATACGATGTTGAGCGCCCTCAAAATGTGAATCTCTATTCACCCAGTCAATAATCGCCCACTCAGGTAAATGAACAGGGTATTAAGGAGCCACTCACGATCGTAGGATGGCAAGAATCATGGAGGTAGATTGCTCAAACGCGGCAAGCCTTTTCTGCAAGAGTTCCAACCTTTTCTCCTTGCCGGGCCAATCCGGATGCGCCTTCAACGGCAGCTTGACATCGGCCAGCGGAGGACATTCAATATCCTGGGCTGCTGTTTCCAGCTCTGAGAAGATAATGACACCATCGGTGAGTACTGCGACAATCTGGTGGGTTTGCAACTGGGATGGCTTGACGACATCAAGCTTCTTAACTGTGCTGCCGAGGCGCGAGAGCACATGCCCAGTAGCCTGGATATTTTGGAGCAACTGAAGCAGAATATCTGGGACATTTTTGCTTGTGCCTTCGACATGCTCTCTTATCACTTTCTCGAGTTCCGCCGCTGCCTTCCCAAGTCCCGCAATGGAGTTGGTGACACTGAGGGGGTCCATTGCGCTTGATCTAGACGTTCACTTACGATCAGCAGTGCCGTCAGAGTGGTATCCATGCACTGCTACAATGCGCAACAGCATGCCTGGTAAGCAGCAGCATCAGGCATCCGATCATTTTTGTCGCAGAAGTGTAGAGGGGCCAAGGAAAAGAAGAGAAAGAGAAGGGGAGCGACCAACAAGTGCAGTGCCCTGCCTTTGCTCCCCGCCCATGGTTCGCTCGGTCCGCCATCGAGACAACAGCACAATCCTCGATCCTCCAGGTCTGACCTGACGGAACACAAAGAGCTCTGGAAGGTCTGCCCCTGACTGGTGCAGCTCGTCTGCGGCTGCTCATTGGTGCAAAGAAGGGCCCTTCGTGCGGATGAGTTTCCCGGTCAGGTTGTTCCCCACTGCGTGTGTCCAACAGGTTAACTAGCGTGCGGTTTGTCTAAGAATGGATCGATTCTCGGGTCCAAGACACGGTAGAATCGGCCTCGACGTGTTGCTGGCGTGAGAAGCCCAATAGCTTATGAATAGATGGGGCAACAAGTCTGTTCCAACAAACAGCGCCAACGAGCAGACCCAGGCTTCATGTCTGGTGTCTAGCTCTTCAATCACCTCCGGGATGCTTACTCACAGCGACTGTGACTCCGATGCAGGGCATACAGGATGCATGTTCCAGGTTGGACCCCACCAACTAAAGTAGGGTCCGTCCGTTACCAGGCATTATTTGCTACTGCTGCCTGCGCGAACCACTACTCAGCTCACTCAGCTGCCTGTCTTGAAGTTCCCCATTGTCCTTTGAGTTTGGAACAGTCTCAATAGTCGCCCCGCTGCTCCAGGTCTCTTCAATAGATCCCAGCCTAGCAGAGACGGCGCAAGGCAACCGGCCGTCAATCCACTTTGCGGAGAATGGCATTACGAGAAAGCTGCCAAGCATCCTCTGGCTCCGCGAGAACACGAGATCTCAGATGGCTAATACCGTCAAGCTGCCAATGGGGATTTTCCCACTGGCCTGACATCGGCCACTAATACCAAGCTAAGTAAATTTTTATTTTAGTGCTCTTAAAAATTGATAATAAGTATTTAGTATGTGTTGGCGTTTATTGTCAATACGGTCATCGTTTACCAATGGCCGATGCGAGAACCGTTGTCTCGCCTGGTGATATAGGGTAGGGCCAATGTCGACGGTTTCAATTGTCCGCGCATGAGAGTGCAATGCCTCAACCTGGAAAAATGGCCAAACTTTTGCAAGAGTCCGTGTCTTTAGAAAAAAAAACACAGGTTATTTCGTTTTGAAGAAAATGCTTCGCGGGCGCCGCTATAGAACGTAAACTACAGGATAGAATATGAGGTTACTGATAAGCTGAAGCATTTGCCCTTGATATCAATACTACCTTCTGGCCTGAAGGAGTAGTGAGAGATGGAAACAATCTTTACGATAACAGATATGAATACACGTTACGCTCGTCATTGGATTCAGTCCGCGAAAGAGGGGTTCAGACATGAAGCCAAATCAAATGCAAATCCAGCTCTCCTCAGCACGTACACCAAGAAAAGAATTATGTTAATCAGGGGAGAAGCGGCGTAAAAGACGAAAGAGAATTATGTATTGATCGCTTGAACGGTATCTACTGCTTATACTAATGATTCATATATGAAAAGAAATTACTCGTACTTGGGTGGAGGAGGCCCAGGTCTGTCTCCCCAGTAGCTCTCGCCGTCGCCACGGCCGTCTGTCGACTTGACGCACCGAGGGTGCTCATAAGCATCCACGGTTCCAAACGGCCACATGGGGATGAGGCAGACCTCGTCAACGCCGCAAGGAGGGCATCGCTTGAAGCTAGCCCACCCGAGGTAGTTCAACAAGGACTGCAATGTGCCGACTGCAGTTGGGAACGCATAGTCTTCGTTCTGCTGAGCCACTTGAGAAATGTCGCGGACCTTGAACAGTGTAGTGCAAATCTGTGACAGGACTTCTTCAAAAGCAGAGTAGATAAGCTCATCGGCCGTTGTCTTTGGCGAAATGGGTTGCAAGTACAGGTTGGTGCAGCGAGAGATGCTGGCAGAGTTGTCCTGGCTCTTCTCCTCAGTGGAATAGTCGATGAACGTGTCTAGGAGGAAGTTTGCTTCGTCTGCGATGCGCTTGGGTGAGGTCCCTTCCTGTGTCATGAACTGGAGCCTCTCCGCATATCGCTTGACGATGAGATCTGCCACATCCTGCCAGTTTATGATGGGTGCTTTTCCGTCCAATCGCTCTTTGACGACGTCCCCGACAATTCCCCGGATATGCTTGAGCTCATCATCAGAGAGGTTGGTCAGTCGTGGCAGATCGGGACGCTTAGGGTCGGGATTCGTCAAGTTAACAGGGAAGAAATAGGCAGATACCATGGACGAATAGTCCAAAATCGTGCGAGTAGAGCCGATGCCGTCGTATCTGTTTGATATTCCACGAAGAAACTCGAAGCTGGAGATGCTACCCCCTCGACCGTTCCCTGGGCCATGACCGGGGCCATGACCGGGGCGCTTTCCAGGCGAGTTCCCAGGTTCACCCTCTGGGCGGCGAGGGGGATGTCCTGGCCACGGCTTTGAACCTCTTGGTGGCGGGTACTCAGGTCCATCTTCAGGGCGTCGGGGAGGACCAGGCCAGGGCCAATGACGAGGCGGTGGTGGCGGATGGTCGGGTCTATCCTCGGGGCGGCGACGCGGGGGATGTTCTGGCCGTGGCCCGGGGCCATGTGATGGTGGGTATTGAGGCCCATCTTCAGATCGACGTGGAGGAGGCCCGGGCCAAGATCGGGGACTTCCTTCTGCTGGATATTCAGGCTCGTCTTCAGGACGGCCATGGGGATGTCTGGGTCGTGGCTGAGGAGATTCTGGTGGTGGGGACTCAACTCCATCCCGTGGGTGGCGAGGAGGAGGACCAGGCCAAGGCCAAAAGGCACGTGGTGGTGGAGGATGTTCAGGGCCATCTCCGGAGTGCCGTGGACGAGGGCCAGGCCAATGGTCAGGCCGCGGGGGTATTTCGGGACCATCCTCGGGGCGTCGTGAACGAGGAGGACCGGGAGGAGGAGGGGGACCAGGCCATGACCAAGGGCCACGAGGTGGTGGCGGGTGTTCAAGCCCATCTTCAGGGTGGCGCGGGGGATGGTCAGGCCAAGGTCGTGGTCCCTTACCTGGGCGATGTCTAGGTCCATCAGGGCGCTTCTCGGGACCATTAGGACCATGATCAGGCCCATCAGGCCCGCCTGGGCCATGGTCAGGGAAACGACCAGGACCATCGGGACGGTCTTCATTGGGACCATTTGGCCCATGACCAGGCCAGCGTCCAGGTCCGTCTGGGCGCTCGCTTTCTGGCCTATCCGGGCCATGACCAGGCCACTTTCCAGGGCCGTCAGGACCGTCGCTGCCCGGGCCATTAGGACCCTTTCCAGGAGCATCAGGACCATCTCCAGGACGATCGGGACGGTCTCCATCAGGACCATCAGGACCATATCCAGGCGGGTGGCCAAACCCATCAGAGCCTCTTACAGGTCGCTGAAGTGCCTGAATCTCCTCCAATCCGTCCTTGAAATCACACTTGATGATTTCAAAGCCAGCCTCCATGCGGATGACACCCTGTAAGCCCCACGAGGTGCTCAACTCGCACAGCTCCCGAGCACGAGTCCCTTCACCCATGGGACCACGATGTGGCTTGCCGGGCTCATCCTCCTCCTGAGTCTTGTTGCGTAGAAGGTAGTCTTGTGAATCTAGGGTTCCCATCTCTGTCTTACCACCGCTCATCCCGTCAATGTATAAGAAGGGAAGGGCTCTGGTGGTCTTGTACACATGCAGCCACCCACCCTTCTTCTTCTCGTCATCATCCGGAATCTGGGGCTCCTTATCGCCAGTATTGAGGATGTGCTGCTGAGTCTCCGTGTCCACCGGGCTGAGATTGAAGAATGGATTGCGACGCTCGGCGCGCGCCTTGTCCTTGCCCGGGGGAGGCCCTCTCGATCTGGCAAACTGCTCGGCGTGCTCCATTTCGTAGGCCAGCCAGTCGGGCTCAGTAGGCGACTCGGGTCGGTTATTGCCGTGGTAGAGGAGGACGCCCTCGGGGACGGTGGCCAGGAAGAATGACACTCCGTTGTGGTGAAGGCTAGAGCCCCACTGGCGCATCGAGTCGTGCACCGAGTTGAAGATCTGAGGCGCGCGATCCTTGGCGATATCTTTGCTTGGCTTGAGCGACGACGCCGCATGACTGGGCGAGGCATAGCAGATGACGGCCAGAGCCGCCAGCTGTCGAAGATTGAACATGGCTCGGCAAACGTCAATGATGGACTGACGGCAAGCTGAATCCCATGAGGAGCAAGCTGGGTGAGCGCCTTGGATGGGCGAGGCCTTTAGTATGACCACCTTTATCGGGTGTTCAAGACCCGGTACAGTTAGACAGAGACCGGGATGGGGCTTTGATATTAGCTCAAGGGCTGGGCCACGTCAGTCCGTCCCTCGAGGCGCCTCTCTCATCCCCGGTCTTGGCCATCTAATCTGATCGTGACCCACAGGGCGACGTAAGCTTGGCACGATTTTTCGCGCAGGTGAAGCTTTCATTGGATCCTCCTGCGGCGAAGGGCACAGGGTCGTCGTCAACGCTTTCAGGTTTTCATCGAACCATTTCCATGGCTGGGGGCATGGCCAGGGCTGCCCGAGATTGCTGCCCCTGTGTTAACGGATGAGTTCAGTAATGATTTAAGTTGCAGAGCCCCAGACATCTTGTTCCATGATGAGGCTCAAGCGCGTCTACTGACTTATCCCCGCCGGAAATGAATGGGCATGCAAATCACTTATTGACCGGATCCATGTACGTCACCAATAATTGTCTCGTTGGCACCTCTTGGCACATCACGAGCCATCCGGGGCGGGCCATGACGACGGGGGATGATGCAGCCTTCGACCTCATGTGAAAGAGGGGTGTTCCTATATCGGCCGCTTGTTTCATCTAGCTTGTGAGCTCTGTATTAGTGTTGGTGAACTATTGGCAAATGCCCGACTCCATCAACAGTGTCACCTGTTATCCGAAGTGCCTTCTTAGTCAACAGCACCAACAATCACATTCGTAGAGTGTAACAGACTACTGGCTCATATTTCCAAATCTGGTCTACTGCCAACCATCTTACGCTTAAACGATTATGCCCACCTATGTTACCATGATTATCACTCTTGACTGTCTGTAGCCCATTCGTCTAGGACTTATCCTTCCGGCAAATTCTGTTTTCGTAGATGAAGATTAAACAATAGGATTAAGGCCATTCGATCTATGTCCCTGGATTAGGCTCCTACGGTAGAGTCGACGCGTTACCTTGCCTCTCAAATGAGTAAGTCAAGACATAGATGCAGCGAGAAACGTAATCACAAATCTAATCACACCGCTATAGGTCAATAATTGGAACGGCTAAAGCAGTTGGGTCTCAAGATGGGGCAATTTAGTCGCGTTCGTTCTAAATGGGGGGTTATTCTCCACGTCCCGCCGGTTAAGAGCATAAGGCCTCGTCAGCTCGTCATACAATGGAGACACAAGATGGGATCGAATCCAAACCCCAGACTCTAAACAAGGGAACTAACAGGCTTAACAATACCTATATACGGAGTTTATTATTATGTCCCGCCAACTGACTCGGCCAAGGCTTGATCTGAGCTTTAACTCAGACCACTGCCAACAACCGTCAAACGAGACCGCATCTGCCCATGTGACCTTGGGATTACGGACAAGAAAACTAGACGCGCACAGAAAATCAACTTGGTAGATTTATTGATCTATTAAAGTTAAAAATTTAACGATTGGATTAGGCGTCATCTGAATGTCCTTTGGATACTAACATGTATGATACTGAGGATAAGACATAGAGGTAAGGCCAATCCCATTCTGATTATCCAATGTTGGCTTTAATATTACATGGTGAAATTTTTGAATCACGCCAATGGTACATTTTGTCGGAAGGCCTGTCGGCATTTAAAAGACTCTGCCCTTGGTCTGGATACCTTGCTCGCTCTGAAGCTTCCTGATGTTGGTGTTCTTCCAAACAAAGATAGCAAAGAGACAGAGGGGCATGAAGCAAGCACCAGCAATCACCATTCTTCGCTGGAGATAGCCGTAAGCACCCACAATAGCCTCTCGCTCCGGGGTGCCATCCTCGTAGCTCATTTGTAGAACCATGTCACCGTAGATGGTGGCAGACTGGTTCTTCACAGATTCGGGGAGGCGGAGGAGCAATTGCTCCGGAAGGATGTTGTTCCAGAGTGCCCCAGCAATGGCGTTGCCGATTGCTGCACCGAAGGAGCCAAACATGCCCCAGATGGCGAGCACGACGGCAATTTCCTGATGTGTGACGGGGACCTGGACGGCGAGCTGACCGCAAGATGCAAATAGTTGAGCACCTACACCGACGAAGATTTGGGTCATGGTGATTAGGCCAGGGCCAGTTTCGGGGGTTCGGAGGGGGATAAGGAGAGCTGTTCCGAGAAGCATCAGGGGGACACCAGCAATGGCAGACCACTTGAAGTCTCCAGTGTAGCTAATGGCACTATTTTATCTTGATTAGAGGCATTCTATCGACGGTAGACCTTTTACGAATTACTTACGCTCCGATGAAAGGGGCGAAGACGGCGGAACTGAGAGAATAAGCATTCAGGACATAACCAGCGGTGGTGATGCTAAGCCTGTTCACAACCTGCAGGTAGGAGTAGAAGTAGGCGTCCCAGCAGCTTCCCTCAAGAATTAGTATGTAGCCTTTCACGTTTACCTTAAAACAAGATGCTGATCTGATACTTACAAGGTGGAGATAAACATAGCACCGTAGAGAAGGCAAGAACCTAGAATAGTAGGGTTCTTGAGATACTTCCAGGGAATGAACTTGACAGGTGCAACCTTCCACTCCCAGAGAGCAAAGGCCGGGAAGCAAAGAATACCGATAATAATCATTGCGATGATATAGCCTGTCTTCCACCCATATGGGGAGTAGGAGACCAGGCTGAAGGGCAGGAGGAATAGGGAAAAAGCGGCAACAATCAAGATGATCCCGATAACTAGCACATGTTAGAACAATTTTTGAGTTCAATGAGTCAAATATTCGCCGAGAAGCAAGCTTACCATCGAGTTCGATAAAGTAATGCCAGAGGGACTGGATGATGTTGCGGCCAGAAGCCTCCTTGGGCTTGATGAGACCTTGCTTGGCAGCCTTGCGCTGCTCCAAGAGCATGACGAGGAATACTGGAAGACAGATTCCAACCTGCATGATCGCGAACGCACCGAATGCCCATCTGAAGTTGAAGTTTGTATAGAACAGATCGGCAATCTTGGGACCCGCAAAGGTTGAGCAAATCGTCGGGGTGCCGTTGATGCCCGCGATAATCATACGGTTCTTGAGGGTGGTCATATCGGCGATCATAATGTCGATAATGTACATGAGACCGATATGTCCTGTCCAGTAGAGAACGTGAGCCCCAACGTACACTTCGATGGTCTGGCAGGTAGCCTTCATGATCAGCCCAATGGTGACAATAAGCAACATGACGACGAAGCCCTCGATACGGCCCCAAATGTCGACAACTTTGGCCAGGGTAAGCTTGGTGGCGCCGCTGAGAACGGTGGAAAGAATAGAGACGACGTTCAGAAGACCGTGCTTCCCAAAGGAGGAGGTGATGTAAGGGTTCAAAGACGACTGGACTGATTGAAGGAGGATATCAATGAACGAGACAAGATACAGCCTTGGTACCAATTAGCTCTGCTTCTCCATGGCAATTCCACATCAAAACTTATACTTACATGACGAACATAGAGATGAGTGTCTTGTTAGTCCACACACTTGTCATAGCACGGGCGCCCTGAACACCGCCCTGGAAATCCTGAGATTTCTCATCCGACTCATAGCCAGAGGCTTGCTGTGGCGATGACTCCTGAACAGCATTCTTCTCTGGGTCGACGCTGGCCGTCGTATCGACGGCGGCGGTCTTGGTAATGTCTGCCATGATTAGAAAAGGATGTGCTCCAATGTCCAAAGTAAGGCGTGATCAGTATGTCTATCTCCTATATCTTCATCTCGCCCGAACAAAAGTGGAAGAGGGAGAGCCATATTTGAATAACTTGACACAATCCACAGATAGAAGGCTTTCTCATGCCCGCCAATATCACCGGAACATAAGGACACTCCCATACACGGCCTCGGGATACCCTTGCCATGGCCACGCGGTCTTGGCCGACCTACCCTCATCCGAGCATATATCCTTGTTGATCTTTTCCTTGAGAAGTAAACGCGCGTGCTTTCTAGTCCCCACTGAGAGCGATTTTACCCACCATGGAGAGAAAGGAGCCTTGTGACTACCACCGTCCTGCTGCAGGGCGAAGCCGATTGGGTGGGCTTCACTTTGCGTAGGGCCGACTTACCCAATCTATTACCTCTGTTAAGCTTCATAAAGTTGCCAACCCTTGCCTAGAATGATCAGGTCAGACGTTTCTTCGGCCCAGGCCCGCAGCAGCACGACCGGATCAAGCCATAATCACTCCCTGATAATCAATCTGATTAGATATACTCCACCAGCATGACACATAAGCTCGGAAACCAGCAAATCCTCTCATCCCGCCGACAAGTGGATGCCGACAACCGCTAAGTAAACGATGGGCAGTTCATCTCTCTCCCGACCCATCGGGTTCACTGGATCAATGAGGAAAACTAATCACTTGGCATCACGTTGGGAGTGGCACTGAAGAGGGGCCGGCAGGCTACGCGGCAGAAGTCAGCCAAGTCTACGGCAGCGATCTTGAATGGCTCGACGCTGCCCACAATTTCCGGACTGAAAAAGAGAGACTCACAATGTATTCTCTCACTGCATTGATGGGTCAGGCCATACATATGCGTGGGGCGGCCCTCATCGTCCAACTGACCTTCGAAGGTAGGCCTTTCACACTCCTGATTCATGCTCAAAGCTATACATCCAATTATACCGATATCCTTTGCTTGTGACACGTAGTCAATTAATGGTCTTTCGTCCCTCCTGAGTAGAAGGTCCCTGATCTCCAAGCCTCTTGGCAAGCCAATGCAAGACAGTGGCAACGGCAATCGGAACAGAGCGTGGCTTGGCAGTCACCCTAACGAAATGAAGGAAGAAATTCATGCCGGTGCATGAGCAGTTGGCAACTGAACTGGGGAATGCGAGAGCAGCACCCACCCGGACCCTGTCTCGCTTGTTCCCACCCGTGCCAAAACCCTTGATCCTGAATCCTCGTCCCGAATCAGATGTGATATCCGCCGCAGCGTAGCGCTCTTGGTGGGGTGAAGGAGTCCTTGCTGAATGAATCCTGCCTCGTTTGCATTCCACCGGCAAAATCGGCTTCTCATTGCTTCCTGCTTCGGACATGCAAGAAGAGGCAAATATGGCAATGCCTCCGTCAATTTATCCAAGCTGGAAAGCTCAATAATTTATGAGTCTCTCATTCATTTAGATCAAGGAGAAATTCAAAGTGTTCTTCTCAATGGTTGTGGTTGTGATTATTCCGCTTGCACTTGCAACATGCCGTCATCAAAAAGCCAACTCGCTGTCTGCTGTACCGTTGGCCGCTGTTGTGTGCAAGATCCGAGAGTGAAAAAACAAGGAGAAAAAAAATTGGGAACGATATTATCAGACTATAAGATCTCGTGCATAGTAAAAGACACATCTTATTGTAGGGGGGTTATGAAATGGTCACATATGGAGCGGGATAGAAAGTGCCTTGAGGGCTTCGACGGCTGCAGATGACGCATATGCGACCATGGCCCGGTGCTATATACCATGGAACTAATATATATTCAACCTGGCTCCTAGAAGATGGTTTTACAAGTGCTGATGATTGATCCTTGACGATTTCATAGGCTGTGTATGCGTACTATTCTTCTTATCTAGCCAGCAAGACCATTCATCACCGTGAATCATAAAAGAAAAGAAGCCATTGTGAGTTTTCTAAGACCGGCCTAAACCTCATAATATTCACCATTATCTAAATAGCTCATAGAACTTTGGAAGAGATTAGATCAGCGGTCTCAAACTGACTCCAGGCTGATCGTCTCCTTCAAAAAGAATGGACTTCCTGTGAGGCTAAAGATAAATTGTAAAGATGGACAGCTTTTGATTTTAATTGCCTACATTATGTCACCCACCACCTTACTGAGCAGCAGATCTGCCCACACTGTAGGCAGATCAGCAGGAACCCAACATTCACAAATTCATTTGACAACAGGACTAACTAAACTAGAAAATTGAATAAAACATGTTTAGAAAATATTAATACTTGACGGATACTTGATTTCTGGCCCTTTTTTCGAAACATTCAACCACATTAACTCTTTGTCAACACTTTGCAAAGTATTACTGTTTCCTCCATTTCCAACAATACTGATACATACCTTGCGGCCACCGTTGTTAATGAATGCCTGGAACTTGCATTTGGGATGGTATCCGAATGCGACAAGTGTTTACAGATCTGCATCCTAAAGGGTCAATTGTAATTGTTGGGCGGAGAGGAGAATGAAGCCGCCGGCCGGTTCCATCTTCCATGCGAGAAGCCCTTGAAAGACGCATTGGGCTAGCTCGGCCTAGGCCATGCTTAGCAACAGTCAAGTGTGTGTCTTGAGGCTGATGCTTATGCGGGTGCGAGGATTGTCCGACGGTGATTGGATAACCGAAAATATGACGGCACAGTCTGAGCCGGTGGAGAGACACAAGGCAACGTGAAAGCGAGTGCGAGGCGGTGGTTCGAAGTCGAATGTAGGAGCAATAACTACTTTCTGGATATATAAAGATTCTACATATGTTCTTCTAAGGATAACATATGCCATCATCAGATTCAAACAGTAATCAACACAGTTATACACTCTCATCTTGAATTTCATTTTTCCAAAGGCTCCACGCACATCACAACCCCTGCCATACGCTCAATATGCCTTCTAATCACGCTGCGCAACTGCCTACCAAGTTGGCACGCTCCTTGGTTGTCTCCGAGGCCCCTTACCCCACGCCCTCAAAAGGCCAAATCGTCATTCGCAATGCCGCAGTGGCCATCAACCCCATTGATTGGCTCATTCAGTCCCGAGGTGATCTTGTATTTCCTTGGTTGAAGTACTCTTCTACACTTGGGTTCGACGCTGCAGGCGAAGTCGTCGAAGTTGGTGAGGAAGTCACCCGGTTCAAAGTTGGTGACCGGGTACTTGGGCTATGCCGAGGCACTGAAAAAGACGAGAATGACTCTTCGCAAGGCGCATTCCAACACTACACAGTACTTCGAGAAAACTGGGTGTCTCATATCCGTGCCCCAGATATGTCCTTTGTTCAGGGAGCCACTCTACCTCTCGGTGTCGCTGCCGCATCAGCAGCGCTATTTGACAGCTCCTACCTCGGGCTTGACTTGCCCACGGTACCGGCACGCCCATCAACGGGAAAGACAGTTCTTATATGGGGCGGATCCTCTAGTGTAGGTTGCTGCGCTATTCAGCTAGCCGTCGCCGCCGGCTACGAGGTTTTCACGACAGCTTCCCCAAAGAACCACGACCTAGTGCGTAGACTGGGAGCGTCAAGAGTGTGGGATTACAACAACAGCGCAATAGTAGATGAAATAGCAGAGGGCCTCAAAGGCAAGGTGGTTGCCGGTGCTGTTGCCATAGGACCAGGCTCAGGGAACAAATGTATGTGTGTGCTGGAGAAGGCTCCCAAAGGCGCGAACAAATTTGTGGCCATGGCCACTCTCCCAATGCCAGACAGCGAGCCAACTCGCATGGGCATGGTGTCCTCGGCCGCGTCGTACCTGACAAAAACGGCGACATACGGTGCCAGAAGCATGATGAACGGAATCAAGTGGAACTATGTGAGCATGGACGGAATGGCTGGAGCGGGGCTGAACAAGCAAGTTTTCGTCGACTTTTTGCCGAAAGCTCTCGAATCAGGGTCCTTTGTCCCGTCACCAGAGCCACTGGTGGTCGGGCACGGGTTGGAGAAGATCCAAGAGGCATTCGAACTGCAGAAGAAAGGTGTTTCAGCCCAGAAGATTGTGGTCACTCTCTAGGAAAGGGAAATATACATTACAACGAATTACTGTGAGAAACGTAAGCATAGCAATTGTTTTTTAGTTGAATAAACATTTGGATTTTGCTTTTATCCATAATACATACACTGAGAGCTTTATCTCCTTAACGTTGGCATCTTCCAAAAACAATCGACAGGGGCTTTGAATGGTGTGAAATGCCTGTGAATAAACTCCATGAATAGGGAAACATGATATTCCCCAATAAGGATATATAAAACCGACGAGACGAGATCAATATCCTATAGTTATTAATCCTCATAGAATGATTCCCGCCTCCCTGAACTGTTCAAATGCCTCAAGCCATCCTTCGATTGGATCGCGGCGTTCATGGAAACCACAGGCTCGCAGCCGGTCTAGACTCAATTGTCGGTCGAATGTGAGCCAAAATCCAACACTATCCAACTGTTTACTACCTGCTCCAACCCCGCCGGATAAAGCTTTCGGGCGATTCTTCTCTGAAAAAATGGCTGCATTCTTTTCGACATACTCGCCCGGTTTGAGCGCACCCGTCTCCGTAGAAGGGCCAACTCCAGCAAGCCCAAACCAAGAAGCAATCATGGGCCAAAGCTGACGAAAGGTGGTAGGATTCGCATCATCCGCCATGTTGATGACCTTCCCACCACACACATCAGGGTTCAATGCGGCGAATACGGCGATCCGCCCAAGGATCTTACTAGAAACTGGTGTAAACTTGCTATCCAGTGCTTCTTCGCATCCGGGAAACGGCACCGAAATTTCAGAGCCACCGTTTGCAGCACCTGTGCCTTCATTATGCGAGTACAGAGACAAGTATTGCGCCCAGTGGAGGGCAAGAGACCACCCAGAGCCGTTTGGGCTAAATCCGATGACAGCATCGGGACAAACCTCTGTCCATGACCAGCCACGCCCGTTGCTGGCTTCAGTCAAGATCTTCCTGAACCATGGGTAGGCCACGGTCTTCGCATAATCATCAGGAAGTTGGTCTGCCATCGCCTCATCCAGCGGCGCCTGAAACGTGCCACCGGGGATGTAGATTCCATACCCCTTGAGCCTCTGTCAATATTCGAGAAAGGATAATTCTGGAGTTGAACGGCCACATACTCGTGTACCACCAGGGTAGATGAAGGCTTTGACATTTGGTGATATGATATTCACTGCGGCTACAACTCTCCGCATCATCTCGCAGTTGATCTTGCACTCCTCAACGGCGTCGCTGTTGAGTGCAGAAAACACTTACTTCATATTAGCTAGTCTGATCATAAAGTAGCCAGGGGCTTAGCATACCAAAATAGAACACATGTGTAATGGTGTTAGCGTCGGAGACGTTGGTTTGAAGCTGCTGTGCCAAAGCATCCCCCGTGCCTTTTCGTAGATCTATTCCTGAGACAATCTGCAATTCTGGCTTTGAAGAATTCTGAGTCCCTTTGGAAGATAAATTCAGATCGACTTCGGATATTGGTCGGTTAACAACAGCCGTCACTCTGGAAAATGTCCCAGCTTGGGGGTAATTGGAGGTCAATTGGTCAAGGACAGACCAGCCGAGCAGGCCAGCAGCCCCAAACACGATTGCATGGTTTGTGTTTCTGGACATCCTGAATAATAAGTTGATGGACCCTTGGTACTCATCTCATATCGGAATTACAAGGAGCACAGACAGAACGCGCCTGAAACAGAGGCAAGGTATATATAAAAGCATGCGGCACTTGGGAAGTCAAGGTGGGGTCGATGAATCATAATGAGCCAGGAAACACCATCTCGACACTAGTCAGACCGACTTGTAGCAATCTTAGAGATGTGGGGGGAATGATCTCATGAGTCTGGAAGTTTATGTTAAGGGACCGCCCGCCAAGGAGGTTTACCCCTCTAATTAGTAGACATATCCTGGCT